CTTTTCTGAAATAACATACCAATTTCTTTACATATTTCGATTCTACTGTTGAAATTACGCCAAACCACCAAGTTTTGTAAAAATCGTATGAGTAGTTTTTTAAAAAATTAGCCCTGAAAATTTTAGATCCTCAGTGTTAATTGCGTTTGATATATATATATAAATCTCTTTTTATTAAACTTATATTATTTTATTAAACTTAGATTATTTTATTAAACTACTATTTATTAAACCAAGGTCTTCACGTCCTATTTTTTTAACAATATTGCATGCAGTACCATTTTTTACCTGGTGGTGAGTTTTTATACTTTTTCACCTGTGGAAAATAAATTCTCCTGACCTCCTTTACATCATTATGATGTTTGATAACATTTTGTCCGGTAGTTTTCTTTTTTATGAGCGTTTCAGAATGGAACTTCAAGAATAACATTAATGATAACCATCTTGTGTACTATCTGGGTACAAACCCTGTAACTAGAAGACGAAACTACAACACTAACTGCGTCAGACTGAGCCGAACTAACTTTCAAAACTTCCCAACCGTGCGTACATCAGGCTTTTAGATTTGTTCTGATCAGGAGATCTTTCTCTAGGCAAGTAGCAGCGGTGATAACACCGAGTCTTTTGTTATGAATTACGGTGCTTATGATTTTACTTTTCATTTTAACCTACGACGCTTGGCATAAAATCTACCTGCTATTATTAAACGTCTAGGCTGACCAAAATGATACAAAAAAATCAACATAAAGGTAACTCTTAGTAAAACTAAAATAAAATGCCACTTATGTTCTTTCGAATATCCATCTAGTATAAGTGTAAAATGTTTAATGCTACATGATAAATTTCATAAATTTTATTTTTTTCTCAAACTTATTAATAATTATGTTAATTTATATTTAATAATAATACATCCTATTTATGAATCTATTTTATTTTTAGTATGGTATTACAAAAGATATAATAATACATCCTATTTATTCGTGCATAGATAATATTTTTAATTGGAATTATTCAGTCTCTATTTGCTCATAGGTCCTTTATTTTTCGTTAATAGTCGTTAACACTCCTTAAAAGAACTTAATTTCCGTCATCGGAAATGTGTACGAACCCAGTAAATAGTTTGTTTGAATTCCTGATTTTATTTTTGTTAAGAAAATTTTTAATTATATGGAACTTCTTTACAAATTTCTTACAATCTTTCAAAGAATCCCCTATTTTATGCCCTTTCTTTGCCTTTAATAAGAAGGGTAAAATTTTTAGTAGATCGTTTTATTAATTTAAATGGTCCATCGTACGAGCGAGTGAGTGGTAATCTTAGTGCATTGTGTCTCAGAAACACACGAGTGTAGGTTTATTGTTAACATGGGCTGATGTGGGTACTGTTGCCTCTCACAACTTCTGTAAAAATGGAATTGAATCGAATCAGAAGAATTAGAGACTTAGGACAATTGAAAAAATTCTGTTGTATAGTTGTTCTGTAAACCATTTCTGAGCATATTCCTGGCAGATTTTTGTATGCTGCTGAAAGACAGGAGTATCATTGGAAGGCTCATTCGACATTATGATGGCACATTATTGCTTGTTTTAGAGAACAATGGAATCTCTCAAGTAATTCATTAGATGCAGGGTGGTATGCAAAAGTCAGTTTGTTGTTTAGTATATAGGAAGAATTTTTCTGAGATTATTTATATCCCCTTGTTTGGTAAATAACAAGAATTTTATTGAGAGTAGTGAACATGTGCAAGTCAAACAGTTGGTTGTGATGAACCAACAGTGGAACAGTGGGAACTTCAAACCTAGCAATGCAACAGGTTAAAAAAAAAGCTTCAGCGACACTTTCCGCTGAGATATCCTTTATAGGTATTGTTACCAGCCGTGGGGAAAATTGGGCAGTAAAGGTCAAAAGGATACTAGCATGCAATATGAGTTACATGAAAAAGAATATCTGTTTTGTTTATATTTTGATGCTGTTGAAATAAAAAAAAAAAAAATTTAAACGATTTTTTTAAAGTTTCTTCTACTTGTTAGGCATTTTTCATAAAATAAAAATTTGTTGATTTTATGTATTCTCATTTTCTTTTAGAATATTCTGTGTAAGTGGTTCAGAATAGATTAAATTTTACATTAATTTGAGAGAAAATTGAGAGGAAAATTCGTGTGTGAAAGGACCGACAAATCAGAATTTATATTAATTGGATATTGAAATTTTGTTTTTGAAATATTTTTCCTTGTATTGTAATCATTAACAGTATATTATGTATACATTCGTGTTAGAGTAATTATGTAAATCTTTGGCTGCCAACCAGGATATTGGTTAGCAATGCTGACTGTCCTATTGAATGGTTCGGGTTTGAATCCTGGAGAAGGTTTGGATGTTTGTAAAGGTATATTGTTTTTGAGGCATGGAAACACTAAATATATGGTGAGACGAAAGTCCTCTGAGTGGTAGGGAAAGAGGGGTGGGAGATACTTTGATCTCTTTCCCTTGGGATGGTGTGAATCAAAATTGGTGGTGGAACTGAGTGGCCTGTAATGAAATGCTGAAAATAGCTTTGTGGAAATGGCAGGTAAAATCTTGGTTTCCTAGCCATGATAAAAATGTTTGTTTGGATGTTAATGTCAGACAAGAGAGTAAGTGAAAATATGAGTCCTATATAATTTTTACAAACTGAAGAATACTTGTGGAATATCAATATCAGTGACAGTAGCTTTTGCTTGATCTATTAAGTAATAGTGTGTATAGTGTATGTTTCTTTCCATTCATTTTCAGTGTGAAATGAGAGTAAAATTCGAATCCAGTTCTCATAATCTTCAGCTGTATGTATGTATTTTCAGTAATTCATAGATCACATATCAAATTTCTGAACAAGAGTAGGAAATATGTGCATTATATGTTTGAAATTACTTAATTTCTGATTTTTAGGTGGCAACCAAATTTTCAGTAGCATTTGAAGCTTCGCAGAGTTTTTATCTCCTGCTTTACTCGAGAGTGAAATAAACTGTGATGGGTCTATCGAACGAAATGATGTAGTAATCTTTCAGTGAGATATGGTATATCATTTGTTAAGTAAGGAGTATTTAAAATGAATTAAATGTTACAGAAACTTAAGTATTTGTCTTAAGTAACATAAGTATTTGTCTGGAAAACTTATGGTATGTTGTGATTTATCTCAGTTGTTTTACAGTAACATCAAAACAAGTTAATGAATTTAATGGTGAGAAGGTGTGCATGTCGTTGGCAAGAGCCTTGATTACCGTACAGGTGAGAGTATGACTTTGCTGAGTTATGCCTTCAATTTTCGTGGAGAGTATGACGGGGTGAGTAGAAGGTCGTCCCACCTGTAACTTGTTTTTAGAGTCGCTGCATATTTAGAGTGCCCCTAATGCTGCACTGATACTGTATATTTACAGATATCGATGCCTTTGGTACAGCAGTGAGTTGTTAACCAGTATGCTGGTTGGGTGGCACATATGCTATAGTTTTAGAGATTGAGTTGGATTTGTGGTTGTTTTATTAAGTATTTTAACGTTTTTTTTTGTTACAGTACATAGTTTTAATGCAGAGTTCCGCATCAAAAAATTTCATTTCGCCTACAAGGGGAAAAGGGGACAAATTAAATGGGGAGAAGAGGACAAATTAAATGGGGACCAGGGGACAGGATGACAAGTTACAGAGGGAAAGGGCACAAGTTAAAGGGGGGCTGGGAAAAAGTTAAGGGGGAGAGGTTAAAGAGGGACAGGTCAATGGTTAAAGGGGCGGGGGGAGAATTTAAAGGGTGATTAGTTAAGTGGGACAGGTTAAAGGGGTGAGGGTTGCAGATTAAAGGAGGACAAGGGTGACAAGTTAAAATTGGTACAGATTAAAGGGGGACAGGTTAAAGAGGGGTCGGTTAAAGGGTGACAAGTTAAGGAGGGACAGGTTAAAGGGGGGTCGGTTTAAGGGGGCGCATGGGGAGAGGGGAAGGGGTTAAAGGGTTACAAAGGCGACAGGTTACGAGGGCACGGTTAAAATGGGATAGGTGACAAATTAAGGGGGCGCAGGGGGACAGATTAAAGAGGGACAAGTTAGGGGGTACAAGTTAAAGAGAGCTAGATTAATGAGGGACAGGTTAAAGAGGGACACGATAAGGGGGAGACGGGAGAATTTAAACGGTTGAGGGTTACAGATTAAAGGGGGACAGGGGGCGACGGGAGAATTTAAAGGGATGAGGGTTTTAGAGATTAAAGGGGGACAGGAGAGCACAGGTTAAGGGGGGGCAAGTTAAAGAGCTAGGTTAAAAGGGCACGGTGAGTAAGGGGGAAAAAGGGAAAAAGGGGGCGACGGGACAATTTTAAAGGTTGAGGGGGCAAGTTAAAGAGAGAGCTAGGTTAAAAGGGCACGGTTTAGAGGTAGAGGGGGAAAAAGGGGCGACGGGACAATTTTAAAGGGTTGAGGGTTACAGATTAAGGGGGGGCAAGTTAAAGAGAGCTAGGTTAAGGGGGGACAAGTTAAAAGGGGGGGACCGATTAAAGGGGAGACGGGGGCACAGGGGTTAAGGGCAAGTTAAAGAGAGCTAGGTTTAATCGGGGCAAGTTAAACAGAGCTAGGTTAAAGGGGGACAAGTTAAAAGGGGAACAGGGGGCGACGGGACAATTTAAAGGGTTGAGGGTTAGAGATTAAAGAGGGACAGGGGAGACAAGTTAAAAGGGGAACCGATTAAAGGGGGAAGACAGGGCAAGGGTTAAGGGGGCAAGTTAAAGAGAGCTAGGTTTAAAGGGGGACAAGTTAAGGGGGCCAGGTTAAAGAGAGCTAAGTTAAAGGGGCACAGGTTAAAAGGGCACGGTAGAGGGGGAAGGGGGAGAGGTTAAAGAGGGACACGATAAGGTGGGAGAAGTTAAAAGGGGGCGACGGGACAATTTAAAGGGATGAGGGTTAGAGATTAAAGGGGGACAGGGGTGACAGGGGGACAGGTTAAAGGGGGAACAGAGGCATAGGTTTTAGTAATAAAAATTTTAATAAATTTTGTTTTTGATAAAATGATTCGTTTTTATTATTTCAATATACAATAGAAATCTTACAATCTCGATATTTCATCTGTTATTTACTGTCAACAAGTATCTTGTTTTTCACCTATTAACCAAAACGTATTCATTTGGCCTTTACCCTGGAAATACAGGAAACTTTCATGAGAACAATACAGATACAACACGGCATGTTTCATGTGAATATGAGTGGTAGATTAATTTTCATCTTTAAATAAAATGCAATGGTTATTAAAAAAAATCACAAAAATGACGATTACTTAAAAAGCTACAAGCAAACTTTACTTTAATGAAACTGACCCACAGTATACGACACATAGTAAGGTATGAAATAACATGAAAAGAAATTACCACACAATTATGGTGGTATAGAAATTAGCATATGAATAAAATGAAAGAATCGGATGTGTCAGTTTGGTATAGTAAAATTAGATTGGAAAAGTATAATCTTCCCAACAATCCATAGTCAGAGTCGTGTTGCAAGAGTTTGAAGAGGAGGACTGAGAGCAGCTATTAGTCTTCCTATCACACATGTAATTTCAGGCTCCTTGCAGATCATGTATTCCGATCGCAGCGCCATTAATTTGCATACTTCAGTTTTGCACAACTCCTATTTGACAATATATTCAAATTCTACTTGGCTTGGTTTATTTTTGAACGAGTTATTGATATTTCGTCATTTTCCTTTAATTTGTGGAAACTACTGTATTTCGTATTCCAGTGTTTGTTTCCAATGTTTCACAAAATAGGTATAAGAACAGAGGTAAATGAATAATCACAAGTTCAAAACCTTGTATCACTTGATGAGACAATGTCACAGCAATTACTTGTAATTCATTAACCATCATACATGATATAATTCTTAATGACTATATTTTTTGGCCCTCGATTGGGAAAACCACGAAAACGCCGCATAACCAAACTTCAGCAACGGGGAAGTAAACGTATACGAGACCATTTTAGTGTCTTATTCAGTTGGATACCGGTCCTTTTTATCGGTGATAGTGAAACAAATTATAAAATTATTTTATACGTAACAAAAACGGGAAAATAAGTTTTCATGCCTGTGAAACAAATTCATTACAGGAATATATCTTCATGTTTATTATAAAATGGATTTTTCGTAAATACTGATATATATTTAAACACATTTATGCTTACCTTTATTTTCATGGGACCTCTTGGTTCTGTGATGAAGGAATCGGATTTCAGATGATTTTTACAAGGTTCGCTTACGTGAATTTTCCCAGGCTGAATGAGGAAAAATGTACTCTCTTCAATTAATGCACATCACAATTAATACTCCATTAATGCACATGATTATGATAATTAACCCATCTAAATATAATAATTTGCGTTTCACAAACCTTAGAGGAGGGATCAAATTAGATCATTTTCTACATATATACGGTGTTCACATAAATATCTGTTACTAAGAGATTTAAACAGTCTTTGGAACTTATGAGCATTGTCAGCATTTGTTCCATTCAAAAAAGCAAGTCGTCCAGTTATATACTTACGAATTATGAGTTATATTTCATGAAGAATGTAAATGCTGAGAAAACTCTTTTGAAATAAATTACCATAAATCATGACTTTTAATGCTTGAAAGAAGTTTTTCTAAATAAGTTGCATTAAAACTGTCTCAAGGATGAGAAAATACGAGGTTAAAAAGTCAGATCATTTCTGTACAACAAAAAATGCATAAAATGAATTTTTAAAAAAGTAATGGTATAATTGATCAGATAAATCACTTTTTAAAATAAAATTTAAAAAATCATTTCCAAAAACTTAAATCAGTGATAAAACTTAAAGCAATCGACAACTTTAATAAAAATAAAAAATGGCAACGAAGTTATCAAAATTCAATAGATGGAAGCTGCATTACCACAATTAGATTACCACAATTCAGGCTTCGGAAGTGGTCTTTGAACTCACCGTAAAATTTGCATAGTCACTCGAGATGTTTTTTCTGCAATAATATAGAACACTTTGTACAAATTCAATGCTTAAAATATTTTCTCTCACATATTTCACAACTTAAATTTTCGTCCGCAGTTAATTTATTCAGAACTCCGTCTCTGGATGGCCGCACAGGCGACTTTAGATTTGACGATACTGACCTTATCACCATATTTATTGTCACCTTCGGGTGACCCGCGCGAATGCAGCATATTTTAAAATTTGTGGAATGAGGAATATATATCATCTTGTAATGCTGAAGTCACCCAAAAGTTCTTTCCTTCTATTTACCATAGACTGCATTCCGAATCTTTCCTGTCTATATCCCCTGTACTTTTTCCTGTCCTGCTGTTCTCTGCTTTTGTTCCTTTTATTTATGCATGTAACTTTTAATGTTTTATTTCACTTACTTCTGTAAGCCCCGTGTTGTACATATGTGGTGCACGGGGAGTCTGTATATTTAAAAAAAAAACAAAAACAGAAAGATCCTGACAATTTCGAACACCACGATATAACGCCTATCAGGAAAAGAGCCGCAAATTATAAGATTATTGACAATCCTTTTTCTTTTACACTAAAGCAACAAATAAATATAACAAATTAAGACTGGTTATCCCAGATATTTTAAAATTTAATATATTGCATGAATTCCATGATTCACCAATTTCATGTTACGGAATATGTCACGTCTTGGCATACTTGCCAATTATTTAACGATGTTAGTTATAAGTCGGTCTGGTATCTAAATAGCATAAAAGTTACATTCGCAAATTAATTAATAGGAATTGATTTATTAAGTGCATACTAATGCAGTGAAATTAACAAGAATAGGTGTTTGTTCACTAGTTATCGCGAATCATTCTTCAAATAGGGTAGAAATAATTTCGCTCAAAAGATTCTTTGATAAATAAATTTATTTTGAAATATGGTGCCCCACTAAAGATAATTTCGGATAATAGTAATTTGCTAGACAAATTTTTGAGGAATTATGTGAAATGCTTGGCATACGACATCTAAAAATGATTCCCTACCGGATATCCTACATCAAAAATGCTTCTCGCAGTAGAATATTGCAGAGTTGACAAAAAAATCTATGCTATGAAAATTTCTGCGCGCCTGTTTATCTGTGACGTTACCTCCTCCGGAACGACAGGCAGTTGAGTTTCAAGAAAGGTACCCACAGATCCTAAAAACTCATGAGAAGGCATTTCAGCAATACTTAGTTTTAGATTTACCCCAACGCCAGGCGAAACTCAAGAGGTTCCAGGAACGAGCGCAGAAATTAAGGTCTATAACAATCTATCCATCTTGGAAGAATTTCTTGCCCAACGGATGAGCGACTATCATTAAGCAAAAGATAAATGAAATTTAATTACTTCCAGTATTCAGCTTTTAGTATATGTCTAAAGTGCAGCAGTTGCTACTTATTTTAAGTTTTTGGTTCAAGTGAGGATATTTAAGTTTTGTTATATGGCAAAAAGCTTTTATTTTAATTATGCATTTATCATAATGAATTTTAGTTTAGTATAAGAATGAGACTTGATTTTTGTCTAAGTGACTATTTTAAGAAAGTCGGGTATAATAACGGTGGCGTAAATAACGGTATGCAACGAATGCCGTCGCATGTCCTTCTGAACTACATTTATATGTTTAAAATTAAAGGACGGTGGATTCTTTTATAAATACTATATATATATAATAGAATCAGTGTTCTTATAAATTTCCAGTTGCCCTATGACATAGTTAGGGGCTCTTTGAAGCAGATTTAAAAATAGCTGAATTCAGTGTTACATACACCAAAACTTCAACTGAATACACAGCAGAAAAGATACGCTTTTATTTTTGATTCCCTCCTAAAGGACAGCTTTCGCCGCCCAACCGGTATAGTGGTTAGCGTGGCTGATGCGAAAAATGTCAAATGACGCTATGTCAAATTTAAAAAAAAATCATAATTTTCGACAAATAACGAAATTTATCTTTTCATTCGGTGTCCCAGTTCCTATACTTGGGAAAGTTTTCTACTCGCTATGCAAAAATAAATTAAAAGAAGTTTGACTCCCGTACGACAAAAACTGGCCGGGATATTTAATTTAAAATGCAATTTTTGATGTCATTTTCAACTTGTCTTGAAGGATCGGGTAATTAAGTTAAAATTATTCGAGGGAATAACTTTAAATGAAATGCAGCAACAAAAAGTGTGCAATTTAACAGACGATACAAGGAAGTCGTGTCTCCATACCAGATTTTTAACTATTAAACCTGATCTGATAAAAATCATTATCAAAATTTTGGCTCCTGGAAACCTGAATTATTTTTGGGGAGGGGGGAGTAGTATTGCAAATTTATTGGGGGGGACAAGAATTTTGTTTTGCATAGTGGCCCTAAAGTTCTAGTTACGCCACTTCATAATAGTATAGTAACTTAAAGCAATTTTTGCAAATGCGATATAAAGTGTATATTGATTAAGTTTTACAGTGTAAATTAATTGTAAATGTTTCATGAAATATACATGTATTCAAGTTTTGGCGCAGTTTCACGCCATCGAAACTCGGCAATGGATCGCCTCCTACGATTCAAGCAGTTAGAGTTGAAAAAATAAAGAAATCGAAACCACTTGACGTGAGCAATAATTATATGATGTGAAGCTCACAAATGATTTGTATTTTCCTTCACTGTAAATATTGTACATGATGTTTTCCTTAATAAAATAATTAAGAAACGAAGCTGGTTCGTTGACAAAATAATATTTATATGAGAATTAATTTTATTCACCAAGTTTGCACCATGAATTTGAAATCAAACGGTATTATTTAAAGATGATGGGTTAAAAGAGTTTCGGAAATTTATCGATAGCAAAATTAAAAAAAAAAAAAAAACTGCTCTACATTTGTTATTGGAAAGATGTCCAGCACAATTAAGAAATCTAACATACGATTTAACTTCATGAAAAAAATTGCATTTAGAAGAAAAATGCAGAATTTCCTTACCTCTCCATGCGTCTGCATTCTAGCTGCAGTGTTGACAGTGTCTCCGAAAAGACAATACCTTGGCATTTTCAGGCCAACAACACCTGCTGCGACGGGACCAGAATGCATACCTGTAAAGAATGAACATTACATTTTCCTATTTCACTTGTAAATATTAATGTAATTAGGGCTGAATCAACTAGCGGACCCTACGGCTACCTCTCTGATATCCTATAGGGCCCTATATCCTTAATAAGGCACAAAAATTGACACGTGTCAATGGATTATAAAATGAAATCAGAAGGGAAACACGCTAAAGTGAAACTAAGAAACCACCTTGTAATTCGCGTATATTCATACTAAAAAACTCAATCGATTTCGAAGGCAAACAGCTCACTCTTCATCAAGAGCAAAGAAATTTGCAAGAGTGGAAAGCAGCTACTTTGATACATATACTGGCATTCAGGGGGACAGGCCCTACTCTTGCTCTTTCTGGATTCCCGAATGAGTTTCCTTAGGGTTCTGGCGTATGTGAAAGTTCAAAGATGAAGCTTATCTAGTTGAGATAGCCTTCTAAAAAACAGAAATGAAGCCTTGAGCTTCGGTGATCAGCAAGCCATGTCTGGGGCAGCTGCAGAAGGACAGGGAGGTGAGGAAAGCTGGCGGGAAACACATGAAGAGGTTTGTAGAACCACACCATCTTTCTATGGCTGGAATTTTCTCTTGCACCCTGGCCATAGTATGGTCCAGTCGACGTGATTTAGAAACAATTGCCGTGAATCCGCGTAGCTGGCTAGGAGAATGTTAACGTCGTCTCGAAAGCTGTGGAAATCGTTAACATAAAGTATGTGAAAGAACTCTCAAGGATTATACCTTGCGGAATACCAGCTAGGATATTCTTTACAGTAGAAATCGCCTTTTCATGTTTGACAGGGAAAGTGAGCTTTTGAGAAAGGAGTTTATGAGAAAAACAAGTTCACGAGGCACGTCGAGTATGATAAGTCTGTAGAGCAGACCTGGATGCCAGACGCGGTCAAAAGCTTTTGCCCCGTAGCATGATTATTGCGACACTCATTTTATTGTGGATAGTCGAGCCTAAGAATTCATTCAAGCGAACGAGCTGCGGCGAAGTAGAGTGTCTTTCCTGAATCAGGGCTGATAATCCACTAAAGACTGGAGGTTGTTGATCAATCTATTATTTATGAGGTTTTTGTCTGGCTGATCGATGACAGCAGGGGCCTGTAGGCATGATGACACAATGGGTCCTAATGGGCCTGTAGTTTGTCGGATTTTCGCACTCTTTTCCCGGTTTCGGAAAGAGAAAGATACTTGCATGTTTCCACGGCTGTGGAAAGTAGTTTGTAGAGCGTTTTGAATGGCATGTTCTTGAGCATCTGTTTGCTGACTGCATCGCTACCGCACCGCTTTTTGGGGTTTGAGAGATCTGACGATTTTATTTACTTCATGAGGAGTGACCAGATTTGCGACGTTCCTAGCACTAGGCGCGTTAATCTACCTGACCTGCCTGTAACACCTAATCAGTTACCTGTAGGTCAGATTCACAGTTAACAGGAAAGGAGTTTGGAACGAATTGTTCAACCAGGTGATTGGCGAAGAGTTCGGATTTCTCCTCGTCTGTGTAGGCCAATCTGCTCTCATTTCTGATGGACTTGTTGCAGGAGACAGTCTGCTTTGAACATTTTTATATACTTCCAAATGGAGCTACTATCCAGATTAAGATTTTCAATTTTGCTATTCCAGATGTTTGTTTTATGTCTCTTGATCAGCTGCTTATTGCGTCGATGGCAGTCTTAGTAGCCGCATCCCATGTACGATTAAAGTCTTTACCCAATCTCTTGCAAACAACGATGATTTCTCTGATGTTCTTAGGGAGCTCATATTCATATTTGTTGAGATCCACAGTTTTGGTAGCCTGTGTATGAGCGTTATGCAGATGTTCAGTAAATATATTTACTATATATTTAGTGCATAATCAATGTCACTCTTAGTATATATATTTACTGCATGATCAATGTCACTCTTAGATTTTAAATTATCAAAATTCACATTAGAAGTAAACACAGTTTTGTCATATAAATACCATTCGGTGATTTGAAGTGGCGGCGTGCCCCTAGTCATGCTAACGACAAGATAGGTTACCACAGGCACGTGATCCAAGGTTAGTTCGTTCAAAAAGAAACAGTAATTACCATATTGCTTTTGGAAAGCATGTTATTAAACCTATTAACTAAAAAATAACTTATTTGCCAAATAAGATGTATAATAATGTCACCAACAAACGGATAGGAAAATCCGAGCTTCTTATTTTAGACTCCAACCTTCAGCAAACCTTGTCAGGAGTCAACGCGCGAACGACATTTTTACAACTTTGAAAATGTGCGCGTAGCGTATGTTGTAATTAACCATTCATTAATTTTAAATTAATAATTAATTGTAATCAATTTTATTACATTTAAAATCCATATACATATAAAAACTGAATAATTAAAAATAATACCTTGTAAATTATATGCACATTTAATTAGAAATTTTCTTTTAACCTCCTCAAGCATTCACTAATAAAAAGTACTTCAAATCACAACTAATCATAGAAAAATCAGAAGCTATAAATCATATCTTTATTCTGGATATGATTTCTACAGGGAAATAAAATTTAAATAACCAAGAATGATACATATAAGTATTAAACAAAATACGCATAATTTATGAATGCAAAGATTTATATGTAGCATGCTTAGCAAGCTTAAGTTCCGATTTTGAGAATGTTTTTTTATAACACAGTTCTTCATTTGCCTGCATATTTATTTTTTCAATCAAAAACTGCTTCAAGAGTTTTAAGACCTAAATTTGGTCGAAATTCCGTCTGATTTTTTTTTTAACAATAGAAAAAATTCTTTCGCAAGCTTCATTTGAATGAAGTATTATTAAGACAGCAAGCATTACAGAAGGCAATACTTTGTATTTAATACACCCATTCATATTTTTTTAATTTGGCAATTTCTCCCATGCTATATCAATACGCAAATCTACAATTTCTTTCAAAACCATCTACTTGATACATGGAAAATTCAATTTCTACTTAATTAAGACATTTTTTCATCAATAATGGATGGAAAAGTATTCATCAAGTAAAGAACAGATGAAAATGAGACTTCAGTTCTCAAGTTGATGTCAGCAACTTCAGCATGTTTTAGAAATGGATCACTCAGTGGAAATTTATCAATTATATATGAACATGCAGTTACAAAAAAAGCTCGCACAGAATTGAAAAATGATTTCACTTCACTTTCATTCAACTTGGCATTTTTTAAATATAGTCTTGTTTCCGCACCAATCACTAAATTTTCTTTTTGTTTACTATACTTCTGAAATGGAATAGACGTTAGAGTAACATCTTCATTTTCTTTAGAAATTACTGATGGTTTTACGAATCTAACAAATAAATTCATTAAAAGTTCAAAAAGTTCTCTTCTCAATTTATGTATATAAGGAGCTTGTTGTTGCAAATTAATATTTACTGTTATAAACAAAGGCAAAGTATTTTTCAAAAATAACAAGTACAATTTGGTGGTCGGTGACTAAAATTTTTTTAATGTTTTGCAATCTCTTTCCTTCATTCTCACTGTTATCTGGTTGATCTCCAAAAAAATTTATCACAGCATCCCACTGTTCCAAAATCCTTGTTATAGATTCTAAAAGAGACAACCATCTCGTACTGCAATATTTCAAAATTTTATGAGATTTTGCATTCTGTCCCAAAATTTGTTGAGCAACTTTGAAGCTATGCTTCCGTTTCGAACTTTTCTCCAAGTAAAAATATATATCTATTATCAACATTTCAATTTCTGAGCCAATTAATTTTTCAGTAGCTTTTTTTGCAGCTATATGCAAGAGGTGGCACGGACAACCTCGGATGATTGATTATACTTGGTTGATGCATTTTGATAAATGATGCTACACCTTTAAACTTTCCAATCATATTACTAGCATTATCTGAAGAAAATGATAAGCAATTTTTCCATTCTAAACCTTTGTTTTTTAAAGTTTTCATTTATACAATTAAAAATACCTTCTCCTGTATTATTCGTGCATTCTAAAATAGAAATCAATGAAGTAATTACCACTCCCTTTTCTTTACTGTAGTATGTTATAACCAATGGGTACAGTTTGTTATAATTGTTATCATTACTTCCATCAGTACTTAGAGAAAATGATGTACAGCACACTGATTTTATAATATCGGCAACAGTATTTTCTGCAAGCGTTTTCACAATAGCAGCAGTTTTGGTATGACCGCAGCTAAATTTTTTTGCTATGGCAGAATCCGGAAACATTGCTTTGAAAAGCTCTTTGGAATGATCCGAAACAGAAAGCGGTAGATTATGTTCAATTAAAAAACGAACAAAATAGCATTCGGCTTTCATAGGATCTGTTTCATCATCTTTTATAAGAAGAAATTTGTTATTTCTTTAGATTTTACGGTGCCAAGCTCTATATGCTTTTGAGAAAACACATGCCGTTTACAGTCATCTTTTCCGCCATGAGCAACTGAGAAGTCTTTGTTGCATACACTGCAGTGTGCGTGATTCACAGAAATTTCGGACGCTTTAATGCATGGAAATTCTGAAGAATATGAATCTTTAAACTTCTTTGATAATTTTGGCTTCTTCGTTCGAGGCAGCATTATGATTAAAAATCTTTCACCTGATTCACAAGTTCATTAAAAGTTCACAAGACACACGCTAAGCTCTCGCCGTAAACTACACAATGCAGCCGAATGCAGCCTAAACACGCATCAGCGAGGAACCTGGGAGACAGACAATTGGGTGGAACTATTCATAAGTCGTTAACGGTTGGAGTTACTGATTTACGATTGGCTAATTCTTCAAAACTAGGAACGCACTCAACACGTGATATATGATAACACGAGTATTCAGCCAATCATCGGATGAATTAGTTGGTTCCGTTTTGCGTACTGGTTCTCCTGCTCTTGTTTCTGTAAAATCCGAAGTTTTTTCCATACTTTTCGTAGCTCGTACTTTTTCATGAATTTCCGTAGAAACTACGGAGAATCCGTAGTAGTTGGAGTCTATGTTAATATTCTGAATAATAAGATAAAATGTTATTAAATTAAAGCAATAAGAATTGAAACGAATTTAAGCTTACCAATCCTAACCATAACTTTCTCGCCTCCGTAAGTAGAAGTCAGTTGATCGACTTGAGCAACCATGTCCAAAGCTGCCTTTGCAACATTCTGGGCGTGGTCTGGCCTCCTCTCCGGCGCTCCACTTACTAACATGTAGACTTGACCGACGGTCTCAACCTGTAAAAAAAATATGAAATTTTAAATGAATCGATATTGAAAAAAATCATCTAACTTTGATTTTTCGATCTGAAGCTGCAGGATTATGAAACAAGTTAAAGGAAAAGCAGCATTTCATACAAACATATGGTTCAATTTGTATACCTGTCTCAAAACACTTCGCTGTTTCCTATGTTTAAAACTATGTGCGTTTCTTCCGCGTCCGCGAAGACATCGCAGCAAAAATATCGCGGACGTAAAGCCGGTGATATATTGCGCAAATTAATATTACCAACTCCGATTCCTACTAGCGTTCGGGCAATTACATCAACTAGTCTGGATTCTTCTTAGCAATCAATCAAAATAAACTAAATACATGCCATGTGGTAATAACAGCAGCCCCTATTTTGAAGTTGCGAATTACAAATTTGAAACTGTTAGCAAATTTAAATATTTAGGATCAGAAGTTAATACTCTCAAATGATTTAATGCCCGAGATCCGTAGTAGAGTCCCAGATGCTAACCGATGTTTGTTCGCTCTCAAAAAATACTTGAAGTCTAACTTCACTAGCAGAAAAACGAAGATTTTAATTTACAAAAGCTTTAATCAGACCCATTCTTACATACTCTACTGAGACAGAAAAAGCTAAAAGTAGCATTTCTGTGAAGAAAAATTTTGAGAAGTACTTTTGGTACCATAAAATGTAACAATATCTGGAGAAGAACTGACTCTGAACTTTCTAAATCCTTTAAAGAAATACATATAGTTAAATATATATATGGATTCAGAGAATTAAAATGGGCAGGACCCACGTGCAGAATGGATGAAAATCGAGTAACTAAAAAGATCTTCTCGGCCGGACCATTCGACATGCGACATGCGACGGAGGACGTGGGCACCACCCCTCTACCATAGGTTAATTGGTGCAGCACCACGTCCACCTTTATCTAAAACAACCCCTGAAGCCACACAAGGGTATTTAATAAATAAAGGTAACACAAAAAACATTAAAAAGACGTCCATTTGGGCGTAATATAAAATCCGAGAGCTTTCAGATTTTTTTTCTTTGGTTTCTTCCCCGTGAAAAAGTTTAAAGTTTCTTCCTCCTGTCTTAATTTTTATTGCATTTTGCACCATGCTTTGCTAGATTTGCAGATAAAGAAAATGGAAGCAATTCATTATCACCAGGCGCAAGACATTTTCACAATACAATTGTGAGTGTTCCTATTCTAACGCAATGAAACTTCACATGATGGAAGGCATGTGATGGAAATACTGACGGATAAAAAAAAATTCTCGACACCAAGAAGGAGTTGTGCTATATAAACGAAATTTGGTAACCGTGTTTACGCATCTAAAAGATGACGTCAAATCAAATTTCGACCCAGGGGCACAAATATGGCGATAGTAACCCCGCTTGAACATGGAAATAAGGTTTGCTTTAAAAGATGGGCCGAAATTTGACGCGTTATTTATCGCCCAAATTTGACGCAGTGATTTAATGTTATTCTAGAATGCCTTTATGAAAACGAAACCATTATCAACAGCTCAATGAGTTTCAACCAGGTCTTGTAATAAGGCTACGAAAAGGCGGATTTTCTTTCCACGATATTGCAGAAAGACTTAACAGGAATTTATCCATTGTGTGGTCAAGGGATCGTATTATTTCAAAAAGGCCAAGTTCTGTGCGAGCCACGTGGCACTGGCTGCATCCACACAGAAGTTCGATCTGCAGTTGGCACAACAGTGACACAACGAACTGTCACAAACGGTTACTTGAAGGACAGCTCTGAGCCAGACGCCCTGTAGCGTGCATTCCACAGACTCCAAACCACTGTCGCTTGTCACGTCGGTGGTGTCAAGCTAGAGCTCACCGGAGGACGAAATATAAATCTTTTGTATAGTGACAGCCGGTTTTGCTTTGGTGGCAGTGATGGTCGTGTATTGGTTAGAAGGAGGCCAGCTGATCGCCTACAAATAAACTGTCTGCTGCCTAGATATACTGGACCTACACCTGGAGTTATGGTCTGCGGAGTAATTTCGCATGGCAGCAAGAGCACTTTCTTGGTTACCCCACGCGTCCTGACTGCAAATCTGTATGTCTATCTGCTGTCATTCATGAACAGTATACAAGAGGGTGTTTTCCAAGAGGATAACGCTCGGCCTTATACCGTTGTTGCAACCCAACATGATCTACAGAGTGTCGAGATATTGCCTCGGCCTCTTACATCACCAGATCTTTCTACAACCGAGCACATATGAGAAATCGCTGGACGACAAAATCCACTGTCATTCACAACCAGCATTAACCGACAAAGTGCGACAGGTATCGAACTCGGCCGCACAAACGAACATCCGGCACCTGTGCGACGCAATGCATGCACGTTTGCATCCCTGCATTCAGAATTCTGGCGGTTACACCGGTTATTAATATACCAGCATTTCTCATTTGAAATGGCTCTTCTCGCCCTGTGATCTTACAAATTTAATTGAATATCTTAGAGAAAAATTTTGCCGAAATTTCATTATTATGAAATAATATGTTCTCGGTGTTGAGATTTTTTCGCAGTCAGTGTATAATATTGACAAAAGCCAAAAATTGAAAAGATAAGAATTGGTAAATTGTTCTGGAGAAGTTGGTTGGTGTTGAGTTTTGAGGCATAACCCAGCGGTTATGATGCGCCAAGCGTACGGTGGAAACTAAGGGTGCACTAAGACGCCTCTGCAAGTTGCATGAGGGAATGAATGCAAGTCATTAAATAACTACGATAATCTTTCTGTGTATTAGAGTCGCAATTCTCTTAAAAATAAGAATTTAAAGAGAAAATTTAATTTTGACGAAAACGCTACTGATTTACAACCAACGATAATTATTGGAATTTTTAAAATTAAGCATTTTTTTTTTTTTTTTGTCATAAACGGAATGCTACCTGTAGATTTGCTTTCACAACATAGTTGCCAATATCGGTCATTAAGGTAGTAATTTTATCACGATGCAAATTTCTCAGAAACATTTTGCGAAATTTAGAGGAATTTCGGAGATTTCGCGAACGTCAGATTTTTCTTCGACTGTTAAATTTATGAATTTCGGAGATTTTCCCTGCTATATTCTAACTTTCTTTATAATGGCTCGATGTTTCACATTCAAATAATCGTAAATTTTTTATTAAGCATTATTCTATTATGACTCTTCTAAAGCGTTATTCTGCGCAATATACTATGGGTTATGAAGATAAATTTCCCGAACACAGTTTTAAAGAATGCGCCATTCAGAAGAATTAATTATTAATTTCGGAAACAACGAATGAAAATCTGCAGTTTTATTAAAAACACTTTAATAAACAATTTTCGCCATGAGCTGAATTATTACATTTAATTAAAAATAGCACAGGTAAGTCGATCATACATAATTCTGAAAACAAGAAGATTTTGCTTATTTAATAATAAATGTTCTTTAGTTTGATATGTGTATATGTTCCACAAACGTGGAAGTACGGAAACAATCGCCAGAATCGCACAAAAGTACTCCTATGCAAAATTACAGTGTAACTGCGTGACATAATTGAGTATAAGAACAAAATGAAGGTATGAAAGAAAAGGACAGCAATGGTTGAAATTTGAAAGCTATATTAAAACTATTATCTGTGTGGAAAACACTTTTCTAAAGTTGCTTTGTGTTAAAAGACCAGATGTGGTTAAAATTGAAATGCTATAATACATTTTGATTCCTTTTAAAACTTAAAGATATTAAAATGGGGTTGTTGCCCAATTAAATCCATCAATGTCAAATTTGTTTTATGAAAAAACTATAACCTATGAGGATTAAAAAGAGGACAGAATAATTAAAATATGTTCAATGGATAAAAGAGAATTGCATAAACTGCATATAGGTTCATTTACTCCATTAAGTAAATACTGATGAGTTATTCTATCGTTCGAGAGAAGTCTTGTCCTTTCATCTAAAATAAATCATATCGAGGCAATGCCAAATAATAATTATTCAGTGCGATTTTGAATGTGATTAACATGAAATATCCGCCGGACATAGAAAAAATTTTTCTATAGACCTGCTGACATCGAAAATATATTACATTGCCAAAAGACATTAATTGATTGTTGGAAGTGTATCGAAGGTTCCTGTTAACATACAAGTAACAATTCACACTATCAGTAAGATGAATCCCCACAAGTTAACCTATTGCATAAACAAGAAATTAACCAATAGCATAAACAAGAAAGATTTCAGTCGTGTTTTGGAAACGTTTATTTTAAGTGTAATATTAGTAGTTCTTTACCTTAAATACATTGTATGCGTCCGTTACTTTATCAAACAGAGAGAAAACATCGTTGATGCAAGTAACAGCTTCCATGGCTGTGAGTCTAGCACAAAGCTCAGAGAATTCCACGACTTCGCTGAAAAGCACAGTCACCTCATCGAATGACTGAAATGAAGACAAAATATTAGATACGTACAATGTTACGTACAAAATGTTAGATACGTACAATGTTGCGTACAAAATGTTAGATACGTACAATTTTTTCACCTAATTTCGTTTTTGCATTCTTTTTGAAATTTTAAATATTGTTGTGTGCGTACGGGTTAATAACTGATTGAATGCACAAATCCGATAAGAGGTTAATAAAATTCTTATCAAAAGAAATATAACACAACGCTGGAATTTTTCCTCAGAGATATTCGTACAAATGTTCTCAATAAAATCAGTAGCAAACTACTAAAATCAACTTTAAAATAAAACGCAATGCAAAAAGAAAGCCTATCCGATCTCTCGCTGAACGCGCGACAATAGCAACTGTTCTCTCTCTGGCTTTTATAGCCTTTTTAACAGGGCGCGCGAGATCTTTCTAGTAAATTCTGCTTCTCGAGATTTCTGGAAAGCAAAAGAGTGATTACGGAATTACGGTCGCAGCTAATATAGTAGTCAATTATATTTGTTAAATTTAAATATAAATTAAAGAGATATCGATTTATTCAATGTTAAATGCACGTGCTTCAGCATTTTTAATTTTCCGGCGTAGGTTTCTATTAAAATTTGTCACGCGCGGCATGGCACAGGGAAATACAATTCATTATAATTCTACTAGAATTAGCTGTTTAAATACAAAATTTGTAACAATATTTAAATTTGGTAACTGGTCCATCTTAACTCCTAAAAAAAATTGGGCTTGCATTTCAACGGAAAATTACATAAATCAGAGCTATCTAAACAAGGGAATACTTTGTTACAAAATTTGTACTAGGATAGCTAATTTTAGAAGAATTATAAGTGAAATTATTGCATTTTTCTGTGTAATGCAAAGCGAAACAAATTTTAAGAGAAAGCTATCCCGGAAAAATAGGAATACAGAGGTAACATTGAGTAAATGGGTATCTCAGTAATTTGGCGAGATATGACCAGGATAAAGGTTTTGGTGCCAAATTTGGTGACCATTTGGCGACATTTTGGTCTGTTCCTTGTATCACGGTAATAAGTTTTGAAATTTCATAAATGTAACTGACCACTATGTCAGCTGTAACCTTAAGTCTACCTTCATATTGTCTTCAAGTAATTTCGAGAACCAGAAAGTGCTAGAAATACCTCAGCCACTCTGTAAAATTTATGTAAGGCCAGACAGCATCTGCTCTCTGTTGTTGTTACTGCGAATTGTTAGTTCAGCTCGAGTTCGGAGAACAGAGATACCTCCGGCTTATCTTTCTCCTTAGATGCGCTTTGCATTGTGTTGTGTTGCGTTTAACGTTCTCAGTAGTTTGAGGTGTAACTATTGATTGTATTCTGTTTTACTGTGACAAAATTTTGGTCCTGTGACAGGTTGATAAAATAACAGGAATTTATCAATTTTGAGAAAATAAATTTTATCAACCTATCATCGGACCTGTTGTTTTGACCTGTGACAAAATTTATCCATTTTTGACAAAATAAATTTTATCAACCTATCATCGGATCTATGCGGGGGCAAAATTCATCTATTCTTGACAAAATAAATTTATGAACCTATGATCGGACCTGTTTTGATAAAATAAATTTTATCAATCTATCATCGGACCTGCTACGGACCTAATAATCGGACCTGCTACGGACCTAATAATCGGACCTGCTACGGACCTAATAATCGGAACTGTCCTTTTGACTTGTGACATTGATCAACCTATCATCGGACCTGCGCGGGACCAAATTCATCTATTTTTCACAAAAAAAATTTTATAAATCTATGATCGGGCCTGTTTTGACAAAATAAATTTTATCAGCCTATCATCGGACCTGTTACGGACCTAATAATCGGACCTGTTGTTTTGACCTGTAAAAAAATTTATCTATTTTTCACAAAATAAATTTTATTAATCTATCATTGGACTTGTGAGCATTCAATCTATTACGAAACGGACGCCCGCAACAATATACATATTATATAAGATTATAAGATATATTACGTAGTGAATGCGATACGAAAGCGGCTAGTGGACTTCTTTAAAGTTTAATGCGAAAAAGTAATCCAAATGAAATAAAACAATTTAAATAATTAAAATCTACAGCTCATATGAAGCAAAAATTTTAAATTAGTTAAGTAACATCCTCAAGTTTGGTGTGAATTTATTCAAGATCTCAGTCGATTTCGAAAACAAACAAGTGCAGATCTCTCTTCGTCGGAAGCAAAGAATAGGGAGCGTTACTAACTTTATGTTTCACTTGGTGTCCTTTTCCGTTTTCAAGTAAAAATGTATGCTTTCTGGAAAAGCGTTCTGTTGCTTTCAAGCTCTGTATCATTAGTGCAATTTCAATGACACATAACCAACGCACTATTTTAAGATTTGGAATTCAGTCAAAAAGACTAAATTTTAATCACAAAAATTTAATCAACAAAAAGCTTTTGTTGGTTCTAAACCTAAAAAAAAAATCCGATGTTCACACCACACGAATACCTTGCACGGAATATTAAATTATACTCCTTTTTTCCTGCATTTCATTTAAACTTATTTCCTCGAATTTGAATAGATATATATTTCTCATTCAGTTAATTCAGTTCTCACTTCGCGACAAGGCAAAAATATATAAATCTTCAGTAAAAATTGAACAACATAAAATAGCAAATACAGTTAAAACAATTAAAAAAATAATTGTACAATTAAAATTAGACTTTCTACGCAAAGGCAGGTAATTCGGTCAGCAGGCAAGAAGGCAGATTTTTCTATGCATAAAACTGAAAATTTACTTTCGGTCCACTCCGCAAAAAGACACTGAAGGTGCAGGAGGTGACAGTTCACTATTCTGCTAAGTTTCAAATGCAAACAAATATAGCTGCTACGGTAAACAAAAATGAGTCTTAACCGCACTTAAGCAACTTTTAAATTGTTGACAATTCTACAACTATTCTATGCAGATTAACTGAAAACAGAAACCTTAACCGAAATATCAGAGTAACATAATTCAATCATTTTGAACACAAACAAAAAAAAAGGCACAATTTACCAACATACAAGAATGAAAAAAAACCCGAGATCACGGAGCCGATTAATAGAGTTTCAACGCTCTGGAGCTACTCGTTTGGCTTAAGCGACATACGTACCTACATACATAACGAAAAAATCTCTTCCGAACTCATTTTAAATCCATTTTATAATCCTTTTCGAAAAAAAAAGTCCTTACATAGAGATGTCACACAGAATCATCGTTAAACTGCATTCGGTAGCGGTCAAAATGGATATTTTCTTCGAAATACGACACCCGAAAATTTTGGGGATTACAATCCTACCTTTATATAGCTTTATTTATATTAAAAGTAAAGCATTTGAACTTTTCATCTGCATTGTGACCTCCTAAAACAGAGCTCTAATAGTTGTTACAATGCGACACTGGTTTTATCTGTTTATACTAACTAAATCTCCCCATTCAATGGAAAGGCTTAAGTTGCAAACAAGCGGGAAATAATCGTGAATTTTAAAAGAAGGTAAGTAACTGTAACTAAAAGAACTCGGCAATTTCAACAAAGGAAATATAATAAAATATACTTTGCCAACACATTACACTAACGCGCTCTATAAGTTGCTATATTGCTAGTTGCTTTATGGTAGGGCCGTTCCTAGGCCTCTGGCTACTCGCGAATTTTTCTAAGATTGCCCCCCACCAATTAAAAAAAGTGATCAATGATAAATGAAATTTCTATTTCATACTCACTAAGAGCTTACATACGACAAACTGCATAAAAAGTACTTACAATGAATTTAATATATTTTCTCATGGTATCGCAAGAGTACGGCAGCCCCTGATTTTTGCCCCCCCCGGCGTGCTTCACCCCCGCTAGGAACGGCTCTGGTTTATGGTTCGCTCTCAGAATTCACACAATATGAAAGAGATCGATAGATCAACTGACTGCGGCAAAGTATGCAAGATCTATTTGATAGGGCGCGCTGTCTTCTATGGTGATTTTCTTAGGGATTGGAATGGAATGGATTATTCAATTATGGCAAAGCGCACGAGGGCTATCTGCCTAAAGAGAGGGATGCCTTCGTGGAGGGCTTTCTTAGGTAAATTGGCTCGTATACACGTTACACATCGGGAAAACCAAGAGAACGTCCATGCAGCCAGCCCGTTCGCGGGATTCGAACCTCAGACCGAACTACCAGTGTTCAGCGTCTTTACCGATCGGCCGCTGGTGGGCCGAATTTCTTAAGGAAACTGTTTTATATTTACAAAATTGTTAATCATATCTGACAAGTGTTTATCAGGACCTCGAGGAACATAATGTTTAGATGAATCTACATAAACTATCGAATGTAACTAACATTATGTTCATCAGCACAATGCTTGAACATCATTACTTGCCTTAAATTTATGCATTCATATGCAAATGCAGTATCAGTTTGTTTATTTTATGCTGATTTTGTACTATACTACTATGTGTAATGTAATATATGCTTTGTATGTACCTCATATAATTGTTTGCATAAATCATTACTGCTTTAAATTTATACATTAGTATGGAAGTGCAGAATTAGCTTATGTCTGTTTAATGGCGATTTTTGTAAATATATTAGTACGTGTAATATTATATGCATGTTTTGTATGTACTTTATATAATTGTTTGTATAATGTAGTAAATTGTTTCGTAACTGAATGGGCCTTTGTGGTATATGCTTAGGCATGCTATTGCATGCATGCCATTAAAGGCCCGGCAGCATATTATGTAAGCAAGATGATGACAAGAATAAGAATGTATCTGTTGTACAGTCCATGCAAATGTAGCGCCCGGTTATGCATTGTAAAAATGTACTGTATTTAAAGCACATGTAATACTGTTTACGTTTCATTATCACAACTGCTATATGTGTGACTCTACATCTAGCTAGCGAATGTAAGTAATTTCATGCTCATCAGCACAATTGCTTCAGCATTATTTACTGCCTTATATTTATGCACTCATATGCAAATGCAGTATAGGCTTATGTTTGTTTAATGCGGATTTTTGTAATATATTAGTATGTGCAATGCTATGTATGTTTTGTATGCACTTTATATAATTGTTCGTATAATGCAGTAAATGTCTCGTAACTGTATGGGCCTACGTGGTATACATTAAGGTATGCTATTGCATGCATGCCACTAGATGCCCTGCAGCATACTATGTAAGCAAAATAACTTCAAGAATAAGCATTTATATGTATCTGTCGTACAGTTCCTGCACACGTTATGCCATGTTATGTAATGAAAATATGTACTGTATTTAGCGCATATGTTATGTCGTATAGGCTTCATATTTGAAAATGTAAGGCAGTAGTGTAATACCTATACAATTGTATGCAAAGTCAAATGCAAACCATATCAGTATGTAATCCAGGGCGTATACACGCAGCGGAAATGATACGAACTCGTATGATTACATTACATTACATAATTTCTAATTATACTCATGTGTCAAATTATATACATATTGTCTCTGTGCTTCTTATATTACATATTGCATGTGTTGAGCACTATTAATGTACGGTAAAATGTATATGTTGAGTCCTGTTCATGTACTGCGTACTTAATGTAAATGTACCTCATATGTAAACATATTAGTCTTATGGTATAACGCATGTCAGGCGTTCAGGAGCCGCCCATTAGCCCTCAAGGTTAATATGTACACATGTAATTCTTCTGTAAATTCTCATCTGTACTTATAGCGCCCTTTATGCGAGGTATGTGCGCCCTGGATGACCAGAATCCCGGGAGGGGGGGTGCTTTGGTCGGTAGGACTGACCTCTGGATGAATCCGGCGCTGGGTCTGGGCGCCCGGTGCGAGACTCCTGTGTGGCTACACTCAAGCCATCTCTAGATAAGGGTGAACGGACTCGTTCTGACCGGACTTCCCCCAGTCTCCCGAATTCCAGCTGCTGGCTATGTTTTGAAACGGTTTGGCTAGGTTGGTTTATTTGATTACGGCAAAGCACTCCAGGACCATCTGCTTAAGGGGAGGAATTCTTCCTGGAGAACTTTCGAATGCAAACAGAGTTCGCTGGGTTTCGAACCTCGAATCGAAGTACTAGCGACTTTACCGCTCTTCTACTGGTGGGGACGTGTTCTGAAACGTATACTACGCAATTAAGAAATTCCTTCACATGTATTTACTCTACTGAAATCATTAATCAACGAATTCTGCCACCAAACGTTTTCCCCAAAATTTGTTAATAAATGTCTGAGTTAATTTTCTGCCCTTTAAAATTATTTTACTGTTCACATATTTCGACTCCAAAGTAGAATTAAATCTTTTAATGTTCAGTTTAGATGGCAGAATGCAATTCTGCGTTACAGATTTGAATTTCTTAGCTTTTAGCTTCAAAATCTATTTGAAAATCTCCCTTCTGAAATTTCTAATTTTTTTTTTTTTTTTTTTTTTTTTTTTTTTGATGAAGCAAGTTTGGAAAAGTTTTGTTTAAATACATAGTTATTACATTGTGGTTAGTTGACATATGTGCAACAGAACAAAAAGTATTGCAACCACAAGCAGCAGTTCAAATTAAAAATTCCCTCTCCCCCCCCAAAAAATTGCCTGTTATGTTTCGCTTCCGTAGGTGTCACACCAGCTTTAGACAGGAAGAAATAATGAAAACCATGCTTAACAAAATGTTGTCCTGGTTCATTTCGTATTCGCTCTGAACAAACCCAAGACGAACTGACAGTGTTTAAAAAGCTATTATGGACAGCAAAAAATACGAAGTAATAGAGAAATACGGATAAAAATTGTATTTCAAATAATGAAACTCAGCTCTAGGTTTAAAAAATTTTTACATTTGAAATTATAAGGCATTTTAAATAATTAGAAGTCAAAATTGTACACGAATTTACTGCAAGTTCAATTATAGCCTCGATCGGTTATTCGATTATGGCTTGCTATATATTACCTTTCGAGAAGGATGTCTTTCACACAGGATTGTTTAAAAGAAAGAGGCCCATATTTTACTTTGCACATCAGAAAAAACACTGTTACTGCCAACCTTTTCAACTACTGACATTAGTAAAGCTAGGAGAGGATTACTAGCATTTCACCGTTTTATCGAGGTGGCTTACAAGTATTTGTATCGCCTTCTTAGCATGCCTTCGTGGTATAATGACCAGCCCGCTCAGCGCCTGCTTGAGAGGTCAGGAGGTTCGAATCCTGGCGAGGATATTGCTCATTTTTCACGTCTTCCTCCTTCAAAATAACCTAATGTCTCTACAGTGGCGCCCGAACTAAAAAAGGCGGTGGATGATGATTCTTTACCACCAGGATTTGGCAACTGGGTTCCCTAATTCCAGTCGCCCTTTGAAAAGGGGATATAAGGTATTGACATCTTAGCATGTGTTCGTGGTGAAATGGTTAGCACACTCGGCGCGTATTCGAGAAGTCCAGTCTCGGTGAGTGCATTGCTCATGTTTTATGTCTCCTGCTTAAAAGTAAGCTAATGTCTCTACAGGTTAACGATCGGAAAAAGTATTTACGTGTTACATACATATGATGTATTAAAATATGCATGGCATGTTTGTGTTACACGAAGAATATGCGTTGCATACGTGTTACTCGTTGACTGATGAAACTATTAATCTCTGCAACTCTTAATGCTATCGATCCACAGTCCCGCGTATAAAGAGATTTATCATTAACGGAAATCTTTCCGTCGATCGAGTGGGAAACGAATTAGGTCAATAAAGGATTGGAAGTAACGAAGCAATAAGCAAAAAGGGAATAGTCAAGGCTGGATATATGAAGAATTCTTACCTCGCACGTTCCAATCGGATCCTCCCCGTTCCTCAGCCTCACAGCTACAGCCTTAGGAATCATAGAATAAAGCAAATCGTCACCTTTCTGTTTCCATTCATCCAACATTTTTAGATTCTGTTCCAGTTTTTTACTGCGCTGCTCTTGCTGAAATAAACACAGTAAGTGCATTTTTAAATACTAATTCCTCCTATTTGAAATGTTTACAAAAATATACTGGTCAACAATATCAAAGGATAATGAGAAAAAAATATGCTCACTAAATTAATGTTGAAATTAATTCCCAAAGCTGTCATTACGTTAATTAAATACAGGTACAGGTTGGAATGTAATAGGGCACTCAATGTTTCCTATAAGTAAATTGGTATAAGCCCTATTACGCTTCCATATTTATTAATTTCGGAATATAATAAACCAATGTTTGCAGTCTTTGCCTTTGCACTTACAAACTTTGGAGTCATTTCCATAATTTTGGTTAATTAAATGCAATTGAACACAAATTTACACTTCTGCAAATGTTAAATTATGTTAGCGGCGGAAATATGCAAATTCTGCTACTGAGAATGTGGTGCGCGATGGACGCATGTTGTAATTCCGGTCTGTAGTGTTATTTAAAGTAAATGTGAGAGTGATCAGCAATCAGTAGTTACGGCTCAAAGGCATTCTTTAAGGCAGTGGTGCCCAACCTTTGGCCTATCTCAAGCACATTTTCAAAACATCAACATTTTTGTTAAACATATTTCCAATCTTATGTGATAGATCTGAAATATTAATTTCGGCAAACGGGTTTGAGATGAATAATATTGGTTGAACTTTATGGAAATCAGAGAAGTGAAATTCAAAATTTTTTTCGGTGCATTTTCGGTTTTCCGAGTATTTCTCTGTTTCAATTACCTTGTGGTTATTAATATGGCATCATAAATTATGAAAATGGGTGAAATTTTTTTTTCTTTCATCCGATTCATCCACAGAGTTAACTTTATCTGAAAAGCATTTACAGTCCCAGTCAATTGAAAAAAATGTTTTTTTTTTTTTTTTTTTTTCTTTTCCCTGGAGATCTTCGTTCAGTTTGTTCAGTTTAGCTGCTATATCCGTGAGAAAATACAGATTAGATAGCCAATTATTACCGTTCAATTCTTTATAACTTTCGTTTCCGAATTCCAAAAACTGCTTTATTGGCGAAGGAAGTTCTACAAATCGTTGAAGTACTTTTTCCCTGCTGAGCCATCCAACATCGGAATGAAGCAATAAGATTCCATGTTCGCTATCAAGTTCATCAGTCAGCAATCAATTATTTTATAACGTCGTGCAAGATATCTCTTATGACTATAAATGCTTACCATATTTTAACAATTAAATATAAATGAATGGTTATTTTAAAAATATTTTTTACCGTATCTAATCGGCCTGGTGAGCACATACAAAATAATCGGCGAGCACAAGGTTACGCACCGCTGCTTTAAGGGCACTGTGAACTTTAAAGTAGCTAAAAATCAACCAAAATATTGCATTTGATTTTTTTATTCTCGTAATATTCCATATACGTAACTACATCGTATGCAAAAAAACCGAATTCAAATATTCTAATTTTTAAAGAAGTTACAACCATTTAAAATGCATAAACAATGTAAACTTTGCTTTTTAAATTTTGGAGAAAATCTTTAAAAAAGTGTATTTCAACAGTTATAATTTATATATTTGCCCAAAAGAAGTGTATTTCTAAACAAAAGGCTAGAAATGTCAGGATTGACAAATATTAATTAATTTAACTTTGCTTATGTAAATGATATACGCGTAGAGCATGGGGAAACTCGTTTTCCCTATTCGTTGCAAAAAAGCGGGATAACTTCGCTTGAACCAAAGCAAAAAGAGAAGTTTACCTGCTTGAAAAAAAACAGAAATCGTAAAAACACTGTAAAGCATTAAAAGATAATGTAAATGTGACAACTGAAGGTAAAACATATGGTGCGGGTGGATTTTAAAAGTTTCATCGTATATAATGCATAAATTGTTTCTCCCTATAACTTTGAATCGCATACCAATTTGAGAGAGTTTATATTTGTCATATTTAATATTATGAGATTAAAAATAGTTAAATGATACTAAAATGTTATCTAGTGTTTACAAATTCATATTTAAAGTTAATTTGCCGTTTCTCATCACCATGTATTACAAGTAAGTTTGAAGAAAAACTTTAAATTCGGTTTTCAAAAAACAAATTTTTTGGAAGTTCCATGCTCCATGCGACTCATTTTTAGTTCAAAATGAATGATATTTGGAAGAAAGTATCTTGTTACTTGTTACAGTAAACTGTATATGCAATTTTGGATAGGAGGTTATTAAGAAGTTTAAACTTGTGATAATGTTTAACAAAAGGCGATATTTTTCCGAAAACTGGTTTTAAGTTCACAAAATTCCTTTTTAAAAATTTTTGATTCATCATATTCAATAATGGATACACAAAATCTCAAGTCTTTATAACTAACTAAAAGGAAAAATTAGGGGAAAATATTGAAAATTAGAGAGCAAGGAGCATTTTTAATCTTTAATTAAAATAATTATTTGTTTAAAAATTTTTGTTTAAAATAAATTGAAATTTTGAACATATATTTTATAAACTGATGTTATAATATGTATATGTGTAAAATTTCTTACTGAAAACACAAAAACTTAAACTAATTTTTAAAGTCCACCGTCCCCTTAAGGGAAGGTCCAAAGTGGTGAACGATTGGTTGAATCGAGGGAGCTCAAGATTTGAACATCCCTTAAAGTGTCACAGCAAGAGTTTGGAGCCGCTTTTTAAGAGCTGGATAAGTTGATAGACAACCGGCAGACCCCGAAGAGATTTGGTTTTAGACTTTCGGGCTGCCACAGCAAATCGAATGCGCCGTTCTGCTGCTACACGGAGGCTTAACGAAGTTGGACTGTATGCAAGAAAAACCAATGGTTTGTGTCCCACTCACTCCAGCTTCCAGAGCGGCACAAAAGCATTAGTTAACATAAATTACAATGTTTGGCAGTTCATTATTCGCAAAATATTGAAATTAAAACCAAATTTTTGAAAATTGGAAAATGGTGGGATGGTTAAGTCACCTCTTGTGGAAAAATGAGTCTTTAATATACCGCATGGTCACCTTGGACAGATATGTCTTGACATACAGAAGTGTTGATCAAATCTTGTGGAATTCCACACCACTCTTACAAAAGGGCACTTTTTAACTTTTGGAGGGTCCGGGGAGGAATTTGGCGCCCTGAAATTCGGCACCCTAAGGCATTCCATACATGCTCAATCGGGTTCAAGTCGGGCGAGTAAGGTGGACGAGGCGGGCGAGTTCATTCTGGTTTATTTGTTCACAAATGTTATATTTAATATCAGTTATTTATAATAATTCCCTCGACTTTAATTCAGCAATTTAAACTAGATTTACTCTTTAACTTGTTAAAGTATATACGAATGGAACATAGTTATTTACCATACGCAATTGCTTTTATTCTTCACAAGTATATTCAATAAAGATTCAGCAAATATATCCTCTAATGTTTCCTGTTTTGTAATCATTCTTAAACGAAACTGAGACATCGATAGTTACACCCTCTAAGTAATAAAGGAACTTACAACCTAACGAGTTTTAAAACCCCGAACTGTTTACGCCCAGATAACAGAATATCAACCACACACCGTAATTATCTTCTTTTAAAATTGTACCAAAGTCGTAATTACGCCGAATTCTATTCTGGGCATGCGCAGTATGCGAAATTCGTTTAACATTGATCAACTGAATGTGCAGTTTGCCATTACGCTTAATGGTCAGCCCAATGTCTCTGGCTGCAAACTCTGGAAAAATAAAAGTCTCTACAACCTCCTATTTACTTCTGCCAATAATGTCGATGTCATCAGCTTACGCTAGCAACTCTGCCTCTAGTTATAATTCCGGCATCTTTAATATCCTTTTCAACGGCGATATTAAAAAAACACTACAAGATATTCTCTCCCTCCTTTCTGGATGCCTTCATGTTGTAACGGTAGCACACTCGGCGCGTATTCGGGGTATCCAGCTTCGAGGCCCGGCGAGGGTATTACTCATTCATTATGTGTTTCAAAATAACAATGACTCTACAGTTACGCCCGAACTAAAAACGTGGTGGATAATGAGTATTCACCAGGATTTGGTGAGTGGGTCAGCACACTCGGCGCGTATTCGAGACGTCTAGGTTCGTGTTCTGGCGAGGGCAATGCACATTTTTCACGTCTCCCGTATCAAGAAACCTAATGCTTCTACAATATGTATGCAAGGGCATCATCTTGTCTACACCCCTTTCAGTGTAGATTCAACCTCTGATAGATCAGACATGATTTGGAACTACTCTCATATGCGCCCTCAGGTCGCCAAATGCGGCGACAAATTTTTCCCCAAACATTTTTGGCGAGAAACTCCAAGCTGCCATATTACTATCTAAATTTTTTGCCTACATTTCGAACTTTAAGCCTAAAATGTCTCGTATGCAAAAAACCACGTTTTGAACACACAATTTAAGCTAAAAATCCCCCCAAAAAATATAGATAGCAAAAACGTAAAGTTTCTAACCAAAAATATTTGACAAGAATCCATGTATATGTTTTAACTTAAAAAAAAAAAAATCTACGAATTGCACAATCGAGGCAACGAACGAATTTACAAACTACGGACACCTCGCTTTAATAAATTAACATAACAATAAATTTCAAAGAATATCATGTACACAGCATCCTGTTTAAACTTTATAAAACATCTAAGAATTAAACAATCTAGACGCTACGCACTAATCAACAAAATAAACTAAAATAAATTTCAAACAATTAAAAAAACAACAATAACGACAGAAATTCATACTAAAAAACAATGAACATAACATTCTACAAAATAAGAACAAGAATAAAATAAAATGCACTTTCCATGAACTAATGTTTTTTCGAACAGCAGAAATACCAAGTTTATACCTCTTTTAACATGCCGCCACGTAATCACTATCGTATTTATACGACAGCCAGACACACTATCCAGAAAATTCATTCTATGGTTCTCAAATAATCACAAATCCCTACTTCTATCATGCACAGCCACTAAAAGTAATCTCCCAGACCTTCTTTCCACAACTCCAAATACCCA